GCTCTGTTCTCGGCCGTCGACGAGAAGCCCTGCTGCCTTTTCCACCATGGCTCCTGCGCGAGGCCAGCTGACAGCAGCTATGTGCTGCTGGCCGACGTCAGGGCACCTCGCAGCCAATTCCGGTTCGGCTTTCCTGATCCCTGGAGAGGCCTGACTTCCCGGAACGCCGCAGGTCCTTCATCGAGACAGAAATGCGGGGCCTCCAAACCACCACCGAAGCAGCGTTCGTCAGACTCACAGCTAATCAAGAGCAGCAACGAGCCATCAGAGAGCCCCCTTCCGTGCCTCTGACCTCGCATTCGGGCATCGCACCCAGCGGACATTGCCAGGCTCTTCCGCCCCTCCGCACGGTGGACGCTATCTCGCTACAGCACCACGAACACTAGTTTTACTTTCCTGTGCTCCCTTTCGCAAACATGTTATAGTGTCATGTGTTTATATTGTTACTAATGTTTTTTCTTTTTTATCATCATTTTTTTAGCAGCAGTTACAGGGCTGGACTGAGGTTAGCTGTCGCTCATAGCAGTGTCATTTTAACTGCATCGGTGACTTTTGCAGACGGGTAAAGGGCAAATTTAGGAGAGGGGGATGTGGGAATTGAGGCTAGCCCGTTGCCTTTGCGCAGGCTTTGTGTCCTTTTCTGCCGTTCTCATGTCTTGACATGACTCTCCTCCGCTGTCTGCCGTGCTGGGAGAGTAAGGAGTGACGTTTAACCCCTCTCACCCGGTAGCGGATGTCGACTGTGGCACCACGCAAGGAGTTTACCGAGTGGTTTTGCGCGCGTGCGTTGGGAACGGGTCAGCGATTCTCCGGGACAGCTGACGGCAAGCCACGCATTCCCTTTTCCGTTCGTCGACTCTCATTGCTCAGGGCTCATCGGACTTTGCTGACGGCGCCTCGCGCCCGAGGCGAACGCTCACCTTTTGTTGCCCCTTTGCGTACGCTCGGCCGAAGGGCGGTACGTTGTCCTTGTGCGTGGCCATACTACGCCGACCCGTATCTCTCCGAAGCTAACGCGAGCGCCTTTGCCCTCGCTCGAGCAACCGGGGCACGGTCCCAGTGTCTCCGTGAATCACCTTTACCATGGAGACGTGCTCGTGGCACCCTGTGTAGTACTTTGTGCCCGTGGCGTGGATAAGCCCATTTGCTTTCCCGCCGCGCCTTGGCAACGGGCTGTACTGCATTTTGGTGTTGACACAGACAATAAAGTGTTGCGACCTTGAGCAGTATTGTGTTCTCGCCGCGGGGACGGTTAACGCGTGCCCTGCGGCTCGCTAAGACCGGACCCACGCTAAGCCGTACTCCTTCGGGATACGTGTACACTACAACCGGAGTCAGTTGGCCAGGTTCCAATCGTTAAGGATTGAGGTTTCTCTCTCTTGCACCAAGGGGGCTTCCAATCATATCCAGCACCTTCACCAGAATGTAAAGGGTCCAAGAGAAGAAACACCGAAAACTAGTTTATTGTGGGTGAACTTGTGCGCTGAAAATTATGTGCGAAAAAATGGAAGAGTCCGCTAGAGCGTTCATTCTGTGTCATGTAATTTGGCTCGCGTGTTCTCAGTAGCCTCGACTACCGATTGGCAGCGTTTTTTTCCGGGCATAGTCATTAAGTGTTGCAGGGCCCTTTCAACTTTTAAGTGGGAATGCACGGCCGTGCAGATTTCCTTTGGATACATGCTTTCACGGCTTTGCGTCTCTACAGTGCAGTGAAACCACTTTTACAGGTGGTTACATGCACTAATATAGAGCTATTAATTCATTCTGAATACATCGAAATTTACAACAATTTTAAATCGAATCAAAGCAAATTCGAACACTCTACTATTCATTTGAATATTCGAAGCGTTCGAATATATGCTTAAGCCTAGTTATTCGAGTTGGAGTAAATATTGGATGGTTGGCCTTGGAAAACACACGTTGAATGATAGTGTGGTTCACAGCTGATAAGGACAAGTCAGGTGCTATGCTTTATTTATGTTCTTGTTTAATTCTGGTGACTTCGCTGAAGAGTAACTTGCTGCAACTTTTATTAAAGCTTCCAAAGAAGCCTCGGGAAGTGAGAACAGAGATTGCCACATCAACCACTCCTTTATTTCATTCAATGCCAGTGCAAACGCGTACTCTTCATTGGAAGCCATCGGTCCGCCTTAGTTCAGAGAGTGGTCGTAATGCGACTCCACATCAGGAGAAGGGCTGGTTGCATCACACGTGTTTCCAAGCGCATTCCCTCAGAGGGGTAATAGACGTGTGTGCCTCTCCAATATCATATGCCTGTCAGATTTGTTCCCTCATGCTTCTTCTTTGTCGCTTAAGGCAATGCTGCACCCACCTCACAGCGCTAGTTATGCAGTGGCATCACCGTGATGTGTCCCCATTGGTTACCCGCATAGCGCCTCGAACGGCGACACACTATCTCAAAACACTGTATCTAAAGAGTCAGCATGACCGGCAACATTTTGATGATGAGGAATGCAAGATGCCGCCCAACGGATCTGTACACAACTGAACAAAAAATTACTTTGTATTAATCTTGTTCTGAGGGACTGCATGAGGGGCTCTCTTTCCCATGACCACAAAGCACATGCAAAGGCTAAGCGATTGGAGGGAGCAGGAAAGGGCTAGAGCAGAGCGCGGTAAACGGCTGGATTGGGCGCATCTGGCTGGCATTGATAAAATTGAGGAGGCACTGGCCACATGTATTGGGACAGTAGTTGTTTAGTTAGGATACTTTGAAATTGGACAGCAGCTAAAGCCATCTGTCATAAGAGCTTCTCTTGTGGAATGGCAAATAGCATCAAATGCAATGCTAGTTTCTGTTTCATTTATATTTTGGTATAGTACTGCAGTGGAACTCCGATTACAGTGAAATCTCGGTATAATGAACTTCAGGGGACCGTGGAAATTTGTTCGTTATTTTTGAAAGTTCGTTATAGCGAAAGCTCAAAAATTAACCATAAATACTTATTTTTCACCGACCAAAACGACTTACCTTTACAACAGTGGGTCCTTAAACTCATTTTTCACGAGAAAAAAAACAAATGCACAAATAAACACCAAAAAATGCATGTTTACTTTAAAGAAGTCTGTGTTTTTTTGTATTTCTTTTACGGGAGCAGCACAAACTTTGCAACGCGAAGGCTTCCAGCTCATCTACATTCCTGTGGTGCGATTCGGTTCTTTGGTCACAACAGCCTGCTTTTGGCCTTCCAGCAGCCGAAAAATATCCATTGTCTCGCTTAGCGAAAACTGATTCCGCTTCTTCGTCGCAAGCAGAGATGAACTCATTTGTAGTATCTCCGCAACGCGAACGCCGACTTGCTTTGTGGACGCGATAAGTAATCACCGAAAAGAGATGAACACGACTGAAAACAAGGCCTCCAAAGGAAAAACCAAAGCGTCACGGCTGTCATCGCCTCTTTCTAAGAAAAAAAAGTGCTAAAAAAGAAAATTTCTCGAGTTTCGTTTTCTGCTCTCTCGCTGTCTCAGGTTTTCCACCCCCATGCTTCCTGCTCCGCAACTCCCACTTTGCTTCGCTGACCTTGTCCTCCCGTGTTGCCCTCACCTCTGCGCTAGTTTGTAAACCTACAGCATCGGCATTTCAAGAAGAAGAAAGAAAAGAAAGTCGCCCTTTCATTTTTTTGTTCCACACTGTCAGGCGTCTTCCGAGAAGCAAGGCGTCCGTTCGCTTTATCGTCTGCTTGCGTACCGCTCTGGTGGTCGCGATGGATTTCAGAACACAAGTTCGTAGTACTGAGTTGTTGTTAATATAGTGCAGAACTACACGCTCGTTATTCTGAAAAGTTCGCTATATTGAAATACGTAGTAGTGAAATAATTTTACATTCACACTATTAGCAGTCGGCATGGGATTTTTGAAAAGTTCGTTAATGTGGGGTTCGTTATACCGAGATTTCACTGTATATGCCGCCTGGTTTCGTGACAACCCATATTTTACGACAAATGAGTTTGGCCCCGGCAAAATTTCTGTAGAATTAATGTATTGAAAACCTTGGTTATACTGTGCAGTTTTACGCCGACTTTCAGATTTGTGCGAAAGAAAAAACCACCTTTATGTGTATCAAGTGTCGACCAAACACTCACAAGTGCAAAATATAAGCTTGCGTTCTCCTAGGTTGACGATCGGAAAAGTAGAGAGTGAGACAGGATGTCTTCTTAGAATGGAAAATTTATTTTCCTGGAAGTTCATGCACTTCTACATAAGGCTCGATCGCGTGCGTTTATATATGGGGTCATTATCTAGTCAAGCTCTATCCACGGAGAGTAGCTTGAGCTGGCCAAAAAATTGATATTTTTACGTTTTCGGACCGTGGAAACTTTTCTTCATTGACATAAAGCTGATCTCCTGCCTTGGTCGTACTCGCAGTCACAGGCTTGTGCACGCATACGAATGCGATGCAGGTCTTTTTACTGTGCAAAATTACTTTCACTTGATGTCAACGTTCATCATAGCAGCGGGACATTACTAGTTGCACCTCACAAGGCAACAAATTATAATCTGCGCTGCTCTGTCGCGCACGAAGGCATTCTACGCAAACTTGTGGTTCTCCGCCATTATGTGATACTGCTGAGATGACACTGTGTCTGGACTCTACTAGTGAGAGGCTGTTGGCAAGGCGGTTTTGGTTTTGTTTTCATGTGCAGGCAATCTTCGAACTTTATTTAATGATATTAGAATGTGCGTTAGATTTGATTTTTTTGAAGGTTGAGATTAAAGATTCGCTCACACTTCCTTCAGCTAATTAACAGTGCCATTGGCAAGAATTATTTAATCTACCTTCCTTGCAAAGGCACAAGGTCCTGCCATAGGCTTATTCAGGTGGTCTGTACCCATTTTTCGGGTAAGGATGAGTGTTCTTGCCTATTATCTTAGTTTTTCGATTATATGACAACCGGTTTATACGAAGGCTTTGCGTTGTCCCCTGAAAGTCGTATAATCGAGGTCTCACTGTACACACCTTTTCTGTATTGTTTCTTTAGATCATGGGTTGACAAGCAGCCTGGTATTCGTGTTCAGCGACTCCGGCCAGAAAGTGAAGTGGATGTTGAGGCAAGTATCATATATGAAATCCTTATCATAGTCTCTTGTAGTTATATTTTAAGGATGCTACTAGATATAGATACATGCGTCACCTAATTATTTGTGCTGTGCTATAAATCTTGGTTTTGTCTATGTACAAATGAGTGAAAATTGTAGGCTAAATGACCCTGATCTGCTTTAATTGGCATTCAGCATGACCTGTGCAGCTTTTTTAAAGGTGGTTGATATGTTTCTGTGTAAGAGAGCTGATGGAGATAGGCAACACAGTTGGTCCAAGCCTCTTCATGTGACATACACTGTTTTCAGTGGAAACATCTTGATAAATCCTTTATAGCAAGATAATGCACTGTTTATGTAGAGTGTGGCTAATGATATTTCATATTTACATATTTATACACAATAATTTTTTATATCTGTGTTCGGAGGAAGTTTTAACCATCACCCCGCAGGGGCGTCTGCGCAAGCGGTGTGTGGCTGAGCCATGTCAGACGAAAAGGGGATCCTGGGGGTTGAGCCAGTGCCGGTTGATTGGACATTTAAGGCCCCCCGGCGGAAGCAACACACCCCTTTGGCCTTGGTTTCATATAGACGGCACCCCTAGGCTTACCCATCCCGGAGGAATCGGCAGTCGCCTTTTCCTATCTCTCTCCCTACATCTTTGTCTTTCTCACTTTTTTCTAATCTTTCCTGTCTACTTCCCCCTTTTGTTTACCGCCTACCTTGGTCTAGGTGCATTGCATTATGGCAGTGTTGTACTGCTGGCGTCTGCAAGCTTTCAGCATCGACAAACTTGCAGTGTCCTCTCGGTGGGCTTCATGGTGGGTGGCCGCCAACGCTTCTGAACAACATACAACCAGCATGCATAAAGCATTCCCCTTGCTTAGCGATCGTGCCACCTCAAAGTGGGTACCAAAGACTTCAATTCTTTCAGCCGGCCAAGACTTCCATGTTATACACTCTAAGAAAAGTAATAAGAATGCCGGAACCGTATCCCCCTTCGTAATTGCTAGGTGTCTAACAGAATATCTTGATGCCGGGTACAAGGTCACCAAAATGGCCAATGGAGATACAAGAGAAAGACGAATTTGAAAAGCTGAACTCTTTTACAACTTTTGAGGACACACCAATCAGTATTACACCGCACAGGTCTGTGAGCTCTACCCGAGGGATAGTATAGGACGCAAATTTGCTTGACCTGACCAAAACTGAACTTCTGGAAAGATGGAAGAGTTAGAACGTGACCAATGTACAGTGGAATAAGGTAAGAAGAGACAATAAGGAAACACTAACTAAACACCTAATACTGACGCTTGCCTCTATCGATCTGCTAGAAACCATTCAAACTGGGTATACAAAGACTTCCGTGAGGCCATATATTCCTAACCCCCGCCATTGCTTCTAATGTCAGAGATATGGCCACGGCTCACAAAGCTGTTGTGGTCGGCAAACTTGTGCTTAATGTGGAGTCTCGGGCCATGCGTCCAACACCTGCAAAGAACTGGCGCACTGTGTGAACTGTGGTGGAAATCATGCCGCATACTCACGGTCCTGTTCATTTTGGAAAAAAAGAGATAATCACATTGAAGGTAAACGAGAACATCACGTTTAAAGAACCAAGAAAAAGAGTCTCGCCATTTTATGGCCCCACATATGCTGATGCGGCGCGTCAGAGGGCGGCGTTGCACCAGCCTTTGCCACTCCTACGGCCTGTGCCACTCCTTTGGCTGTGGCGCCTGCCCCCAAGGCAGCAGTAGTTTAATCTTCTTCGCCTACTAGCAAAGAAAGACCGGAGACTCCAGGGTCTTCAGAGCCTCACCTCATCAGGCGAGGCCAGAAATTCGAACGACCAGCTCACACCTGCAGGCATCCAGTGCCTCTGAGGAGGCAATGGACACAGCTTGTATCCTTGGTGCCAAAAGATCGGCATGGCTCCTTGGAGTGCGCCAAGAAAACAAAAAATAGGATAACAGGGCCCGACGCCGGCCGTTACAGCACTATGTTACTTTCATCATGAACACAGAAATAATACAATAGAGCGTCAGCACTACGTTACTTTCATCATGAACACAGATATAATACAATGGAGCGTCATGGGCCTTCTTAGCAACCTTGACGATGTCCAAGAACTTCTACACGAACATTCTCCAAGTCTGCAGTGTGTACAGGAAACACACTTAAAATTCAAGAACACCAATTTTCTAAGCCATTATGCTCGGAAAGGCTGTGGCGTCATTGCGTGGTGTGGCCTTTATAGTTAATCAAGGTGTAGTATGTACACACCTACCACAACAAACAGTGGCTTTTAGCAGTGGCTGTTCGAGCATCTATTTTGAACAAACTCGTCACTATCTGCTTTTTTTACATACCTCCACAGTACCGCCGTGAAAAACATGAATTCCAGTCCCAAATAGATGAACTTCCAGAACCTTATTTGGTCCTTGGGGACCTGAATGCACATAGCAGTTTGTGGGGTGATCCTCGCTGCGATGCTCGATGTCGCCTAATCGAACGGTTTTTGTTCTCTTCCGGCGCATGTCTGTTGAATAGAAAAGAATCAACGTACTGTTCCTTCGCAAACCAAATGTACTCGGCTATAGACCTCAGCATTGCATCTCCAATTTCTTTTCCCCCTACTTAATTGGAAAGTTGTTGCGAATTACCACGGAAGTCACCACTTTCCAATAGTTTTTCTGTGTGTACCGAAAGCAAATGAATCCTAAGTGGATTCATTTGCTCCTAGCAAATTAATCCAACAGGCTCCTAAGTGCCTGATTGAAAAATCAGATTGGGAACAGTTTAAAAAAGATGCACTTTCAAACTGGATTGATATGTGGGCCTTAAGCTTAGATGCAGCTGTCAACTACTCCACAACATTTTTGATTGATGCTGTCACAAAATGTATCCCACAAACTGGGCTGTCCGCCTGGGCTGTCCGCCAAACGACGCATTCCTTGTTGGAACAATGATTGTCGAAACACTCGAAAAAAAAGCTAAATAAAGCTTGGAGGTTACTTCAGAACTCACCGGCAGCCGAGAACCTTGACAGTTTTAAGAATGTAAAATCCCAAGGCAGAAGAACGCGTAGACAGACAAGAAAGGAAAGCTGGCATAAGTTTTTATCCGGGATCAATTCATATACACAAGAGGCAAGAGTCTGGAACATGGTAGGAAAGCTAGCAGGACAGCAGTCTCATTCACTCCCTCTAGTAAACACACTAGGCGACAGTTTGGAAGACCAGGCCAATACCCTCGGCACTGTTTGGAACTCACTATGCGCTGGGCAGTGCTCTCTCACCCCTCTTGCTGGTGTTCCTTCAAGAGACACTGAGGTGTCCTTCACGACACCGAAGGCGTCCGTCAGAGACTCTGGACGCATCCAACAGCGGGTGGTGCCCTCCTCCTCTAGCGTCTCGGCGCTAGGCAGGCGCATCTAGCGTCGGAGGTTTCCTCGTCTATGTTCTGTACATACGTTATAAATATAACCGTTCTGCTGTGTTTCCTTCTGGCTGCCTTCTGTCTTGCCAATGCCTGGATGCTTCCTGCCCAGCCTTGGCCCTCGCAACATGCTACCCAAGAAGACCGGCGAAATCACCCTCTTCGTAAGAGCGCACACTTTAAACAGATCTCCAGCTCGTCGCACTACACCACATTGTTCCAACAATACAAAACAATAATAGAAAAACAGGAACTAGAGCACAAATCCACAAAACGCGAAGGATACAACGAACCGTTCATGTTAGCTGAGCTAGAGGCATCGATAAGCTGAAGCAACAACTCATCCCCAGGCCCGGGCCGTGTAGTACCGTATTTACTCGCTTAATCCTCGCACTTGCATAATTCTCGTACCCCCCACTTCGCCCCAAGAAAAATACGATTTTTTTTCCTCGAGTAATTATCGCACCCCCGAAAACAGCCGCAATATTGTCGTCTGCTCGTTCCAGCCATTGATGATGTTAGCGCGCACCATCTGGCGCCATCTCTTAAGCATCAAGCGTACTATTGCACGGAGATCCAATCCAATCCAAGCCAAGCCGAAGTGGCCAGTGCGTGTTGCGGCGTGTTTTTTGTGTTGTGTCGGTAATCTTGGCACGTTATGGGGCGATACTGAAGCCACACGGCTGCTTCAAGTTGCAAGTGATGGATCATGCGCTAAACAACGGCAACAGGGCCGCCGGTAGGCCCTTCGTAGCCTACGAGTTTTGTGTTGGCTACTGGTGACGGCAGCTGAAAGCCACCAAGATGGGTTGGGCCTGCCGTGTGCCTAAAACTAGGATTGATGGTAAACTTTATTTCTTCAGCAGGGAACTGCGGACGATTCTGTTAAAAATAGCCATCAGCCCAATACTGACGTCCTACGCTTACTTTTTGAGGGCTCCTGTTGAGCGCCGACCGTTACCTCTACGCCCGCAACGCCCACAAGCTTCGCGTATGCTATTCTAATTCTCGACTATTTGTTTCCACTTTTTGTGTCTCAAATAAATCTTGCCTTGTGTTGAACCTCTGCTTTTATTATTGAGGCAAATTCTAATTAGTACTTCTTAAAGCTTGCTGTAAGGTGCTTTTGTGAGAATTCCGATTTGCAGCCACTTTGTTTTCTTTTTCGTTCTCTGCATTTTCGTAGAAAGTTTTCCCCGCGTAATTCTCGCACCCCCCAACTTTGCATCTGTTTTCTGGCAAAAAAAGTGCGAGGATTATGCGAGTAAATACGGTATATGAAATGTTAAAACACCTGCCCTTTGAAACTCAAAAAGCCCTTTTCTCCCGGAGGATTTGTTTTTCTTACCTCACAATGAAGAATGTATATTGCTATTTTTGGTATTCCGGTGAGATTCCATCAGTCTGTAAAGAAGCCATTGCCATTCTGATTCTAAAGCAAGGCAAAGATTCATCCTCCGTTACCAGCTACAGACTGATCACACTAACAAGTTGTCTCTGCAAACTCTTGAAAAAAATGATTAACTGCCGGCTTTTACAATACCTAGAATCATACAATCTGCTCAATCCACACCAGTGCGGATTGCGTGAGGGTAGATCCACCACTGACCACCTGCTACGCATTGAGGCACAAATCCACGATGCTTTCATTCATAAATAGCTCTTTCTTTCAGTATTTCTTGATATGGAAAAGACATACGACATGACATGGTGTTCTGGCATACTGTGAGACCTCTCACGCTTAAGTGCCCAAGGTAAAATGCTCACCATAAATGAAAATTATTTGTCGACCCGCACTTTCCGTGTCCAAGGGGGAATGTCTTGTCATATACATTTGTCCAGGAGACTGGAGTGCCGCAAAGTGGTGTGTTGAGTTGCACACTTTTTATTGTAAAAATTAATTCTTAGTATTCCTACATTCCTTGCAATATGTTTTAGTCCGCATATGTCGACGACGTTCAAATTGGTTTTAAATACTTCAATCTCTCAATGTGCGAGTGGCAGCTTGATTTGAATAAGATCTCCAAATGGGCAGATGAAAGTGAGTTCACCCATAACCCGCAAAAAAGCACATGCGTATTTACAAGACCACATTATTGCGTATTTACAATCGACCACATTCATACTATCAATCAGGTAATAGAGAAATACTCAGAATGTAACCAACCACTATACATAGCCTTCATAGATTACGAGAAGGCGTTTGATTCAGTAGAAATATCAGCCGTGATTCAGACATTGCGGAATCAGGGCGTAGATGAAGTATATTTAAACATTGTGGAAGAAACCTACAGGGGATCAACTGCTACCATAGTGCTTCATAAAGAAAGCAACAGAATACCAATCAAGAAGGGTGTAAGGCAGGGGGACACAATCTCCCCAATGCTATTTACCGCGTGCTTACAGGAGGTCTTCAGAAGCCTAGAATGGGAACAGTTAGGGATAAGAGTTAATGGAGAATACCTTAGTAACTTGCGCTTCGCCGATGACACTGCATTGCTGAGTAACTCAGGGGACGAATCGCAACTCATAATTACGGAGTTAGAGAAGGAGAGCAGAAAGGTGGGTCTTAAAATCAATCTGCAGAAAACGAAAGTAATGTACAACAACCTCGGAAAAGAGCAGCGCTTCGTGATAGGTAATAGTGCACTTCAAGTTGTAAAAGACTATGTCTACTTAGGGCAGGTAATAACCGCGGAGCCGAGCCACGAGATTGAAGTAACTAGAAGAATAAGAATGGGGTGGAGCACATTTGGCAAGCACTCTCAAATTATGACAGGTAGATTCCCACTATCCCTCAAAAGGAAGGTATATAACAGCTGTATCTTGCCGGTACTTAGCTACGGAGCAGAAACCTGGAGACTTACAAAGTGGGTTCAGCTTACATTGAGGACGACGCAGCGAGCAATGGAAAGAAAAATGGTAGGTGTAACCTCAAGAGACAAGAAGAGAGCAGAGTGGATTAGGGGACAAACGGGGGTTAAGGATATCATAGTTGAAATAAAGAAGAGGAAATGGACATGGGCCGGGCATGTAGCGCGTAGACAGGATAACCACTGGTCGTTAAGGGTAACTAACTGGATTACCAGAGAAGGCAAGCGGGTTAGGGGGAGACAGAAGGTTAGGTGGGCAGATGAGATTAAGAAGTTTGCGGGTATAAATTGGCAACAGCAAGCACAGGACTGGGTTAACTGGCAGAACATGGGAGAGGCCTTTGTCCTGCAGTGGACGTAGTGAGGCTGATGATGATGACGATGATGTATTTACAAGAAAGAGAGGCCTTCATCCTGATTGGATCATTGACCTTTGCGGCCAGTGACTAGCTGTGGAAACTGAAAACGAATTTCTAGGCATAATTTTAGACATGAAATTGACATTTGTAGCCCACATAAAAAAATCTGAAAAATAAATGACTGAATGCTATGAATGTACTGGGTCTTATGTCTGACATCATGGGGCAGTGATAGAAAATGTCTGATGAATCTTTATAGAAGCCTTATACGCACACGCCTAGATTATGGGGCGATCGCCTATCAGTCTGTAGCACCAAGCGTTTTGAAAATGCTTGACCGGGTCCATCATTTGGGAATCCGTTTTTCTTGAGTGCTTTCCGTACCAGTCCCGTGGAAAGCCTGTATGTTGACTCGAACGAGTGGTCTTTACGTTTCCAGAGGTGCTACTTATCTTTTGTGTACTTTTTCAAAGTGAACACAAACAATAAACACCCCTTACACTACATTATGAGTGATATGTCTAGTTCTGCCCTCTTTGACAAATGCTCTCCCATGAAACAGCGCTATGCACTTCGTGTGAGGGGTCTAGCTGAAGAAAGGGACATGCCACTTGAACACCGTTTGGCTGCTTCTGCTGTATATGTCCCGCCATGACAGTGGCAGCTCATAGATTGCGATCTTTACAGCAGGAGCCTACGCGATACTTGCGGTTGTAAAACACAAAACGAAATTTACAAAGTGCAGACATATACACAGACTCCCTGAGCATTGTAAGAGCCCTCAAAACGCTCAAAAGAGAGAAAATTCTCATTGTAGTCTCGCTCTGCTCACTCCTGTGCACAGTTTACTCACTTAAGAAACATGTCGTGTGCTGGGTGTCAGGGCACTGTGAGCTAGCTACGTCCGCCAACGAAAACACCAATACATCCGTTGATATCCCTGCGCTTGACTTTTCTTAGACGAAAACCTTTCCTTAGACGAAAGCTCGGAGCTTACTGGTAGAGCACATGGAATTTGCACACACAAAATAAACTGCACATTACCAAGCCGCAACTTGGTAACCGGCCGCCAGTGTCCAAGTCACGCCATACAGAAGTTACACTTACAAGGCTCATAATTGGACACACTTACAGTACACATTCATACCTTTTGTCTGGTGCTGACCCTCCCATGTGTGATAAATGTGGTGGACCACAGATTGTGCTTCATATTTTAATACAATACAGTGAACTACACCCTATAAAAAAAAGCATTTCCTATTACTTCAGTGAGACCAAGTGCCTCTTGATCCAGTAATGTTTATTGGTAAAGATCCGCTTTGGAAACTCAAGTCACTGTTCTCGTTTTTTAATGATGTTCGTTGGTTTCATGTCATCTACCCTGGTTATCCGCAGCATGACCTCCGAACAGAGGTAACTGCTGCGGTGCCTAAATTACAGAAAGCACTGGCCTCCCCGCCTTTGGCCACAAAGGCTTTGAGGATTGCCGCTCATTTTCTATGCACACATCACATCTCATTCTCATGATTTTAATACTTGTGTATTTTACCCGCCTTTATGGCAAAGGATTTTAGGCCTCTATACAGCCGCTTAACAAAACCATTCTTCACACTCTTACTCATGCACTGGCGCTCTTTGGTCATCAATGGCTCTTGCGCCAAAAAACATCACATATCATCAAGTTTTAACCATTAGGTGTCCTTGTGCACTTACCACATCATACAGTACATGAACCTCTTGTGCTTTGCTTCCATTGAAGTGAGATCAATGCAGCTGGTAATGAACCTTTCAGAAAGGAAGAATTGTGCAAAAAACACCGCACATCATAGGCAGAGGCGACGACACCTGCGCAAGCTTGCAGCTGTTATATTTACATCTTAGGCAAGTGATTATATAAAAGAAAAAGAGGGCGAAAACCGGAAGGGAGGTACCCACATGCGCAGAGCAAACAGCAAAAAGGAGACAGGCAATTAAAACCCGCAGTTTGGCACATTTCCTGTAAAAATACGCTTTGAGTTTATTAATAGCAATTCAGGGGGTGCTTTTACAATGACTACAGCTTCCATCAATATGGAAAGCCTCAATCAGTTTACGGTGGTCTTGTCTTATCTCCTGTTTGTTTAGTATCGAAGCTGTGACTTTCGGGTCAGCATCTGAGCACTGTAACCACTGTATCACCAAGGTAGACTGTTCCAACCTTTTTATGTACATTTTTTCTTGCACTTTCAGATCATTGATGGTGCTGGCCACCACATTTTTGCCGACAAGCCTGAGCAATTCAATGAAATTGTGTCAAAGATCTGTCGGGGAGCTGATGCAGCTGAGAAGACGAATCGCGCCTTGGCAGAAGAGAAGGAGAGAGAAGAGTGGGAGCAAATGGAAATGATACATCGACTTGCACTCTGAGGAGGTTGCCCGTTGCAGTTTAGAACAAAGGCACCTTCATTGGTATATGTTTAAAAAAAAATGAATGTCGTTGGCACCCTTTGAGCGAGGCATTTTTTTGGCCTTGTACGGCAGATTTTAGTTGCACATCGCAGCATGGTAGTGCTAGCAAACTATTGCCTCAGTAAATATATATATTCTCTTTGTGTGTTCCTTGTGCAATAATTGCTTACTGTGCACCTTGCATGGTTATAACTTCAAGAAAGAGTGGTCAGAAGATAGCCATGACTGTGTTTGCGGGTGATAAACAGTCACGTGCAGAAGCCAGTTGTGCACTTGGTTGGCCATTTTTCGAAAGTCACAGCTTGGTCTATATTGAAGTTTGAACTGTTTAGTCTCAATTTTGAAGCATGGAGAATGGCTATGTTAGATGTATAGATAAGACTATTTTTTGGAACCGCCTTTATGGTGATGTGTATGTGTTTTGACCCTTTTGTCACTGTTGCTTGTCAATTTCAAACACTTCCTTCTTTGTTTCACTGGTATCCGCTTGTGTGTGCATTTACTTTTGTTTTGCACCAAGTTGCTATTGAGAATGTTTTTCTGCGAGGTTAATCTGTGATTATGAATCTATGGTTGATCTGGAGATGACCCAAAGTCAAGTTTCTCTGTTGATAACAGAATGCTAGACTTAGGTGGGAGGTGTTATGACAGCATACTTTATAAAGAGTTCAGGTTATGCTCAATCTGGTTTTTGGTGATTAAATAAATGGCAATGCCATTTCACACCTAACTGCTCTTGCTGATAAATATGGGCCCCATAGAATCTGGAAATTTTACCAAAATTCAGAAGAAGGAATGTGATGCTTACTGAAGATGTTAAAGCAATGATACAAGGTGGCCTAAAAAGTGGCCCGATACTATCTTGAATTTTGACCCTTAGGCTTTATGCAAATATTGGGGGAAGATGCAGACTGGTGTGAAATAATCTCAAAACTGGAGCAGACGAAGTGTTTTGCTAACAAACACTAGTAATTGGTCTTTCTTGTATGCAGCAGAAGTGTGGGCTCCAAATCAAGCACCCTATTTCATCATATGTGTTTGTGGGAAGATGCAGACCATTGTGAAATAATCGCTGAGCCTTAGGGCAAGCTAAGCGATGTGCTAACAAACACACTAGAAATGGAATTTTGTGGTGTGCAGTAAAAATGAGTTCTCCAGATCAACCATTCTATTCTATTTTACCATATGTCATGCTTTTCTGAGCACAAAACTTGTTTACCGTAAGGCTGACCAAGCCTGTTGGAGCTTGAGCGTCCTACCACATAAAGTCACTGGTCTGCTGAGGTTGAGCAAGATGTAAATATTTTGTCAAATATTGTTTGTTCTAACACAGTTGACCCTTGGAACAGGTGTAGTGATTTGACTGGGTTGATTGAAGTTGGTTGCTTAAAGGAAAATATTTTTGCTGGCAAACTGTGACTAATCTTATTAGTTCTTTCTATTCTTATGAGAAAAACTGAAATTTTGCTGTAGCTCTAAATTGTCAAAACGAGCTTACTTCATTAGTAGGCTTAAATACTGCTGATCTGTACTATACGTAATGGGTTATTTAAGAGGTGCACTTAAAGTGTTTTGCTGTGAATGGTCAAGTCTTGGGAACAAATTTTGTTGTTGAGATTTTGTTGTTACTGGTTTTGAGATTTTATCAGGGCTAAGAGAGCTGGTCTCTGTGTGAATTCCTGAGGTTGCATGATTTCTTTTGCTAGGACACACTCTGTTTTCAGCAAAGCGATTCTGGTCAACTGATGTGAGCCATGTTTATTTCATGCCAGCACACTTCTCAGCCAGTTGTTTTAAGATTACTCGTATTTCAGTTTAGTTTTTAGTTCAGCTTAGCTATATTATAGCGAATTATAAATGTGTCATGAAACATCTATAAACATTATTTTGAAGTGCTGCTATGAAAAATTTAAAAATTTGAAAAATTTCTACATAACTTCACTAAGCCTAATGGTTCAAACTCTCAGCTTTACCGGCATGTTATAACATAGAAAATGTTGCTGTGATATCTTGCTCAGTCAGGTTAGGTAAAATATTGTAGCCTTGTGCCCAGTGAAATGTGCAAATTGTGCTAATGAATTGCTGCAGTGCAGAGAGCACACGTCTGTTGCCACATCATTTTTTGGCTGATTCGTTCATGCCCTGTCTTGCCAGAATATCGTGAATGAACCGTCTGTCTCCACTGTTGCGAGCGGGGTGGTGAAACACAGTTGAACAAGTTTAAGAGCTAGAACCTGTGAATTAAGGATTTTTATCATGAATCGGGAACAACCCCTTTTGGCACTGTGCCTACCATTGTATGTGCTGACATCTCACTTGAAATGTTAACATTAAAGAACCAGTAAACTGGCCTAGCCTTCTTTAGACCTTCCAAACAAGCTTACTTATCTGTACAGAAGGCCGTAGCAATCCAATTCGGCAAATTTCACAGAGTTGCGTGCTGCACAGGAACCTTATTTAAAAAAAAAATTAAATCCCACACCACTCTTTGGCACCTTACTAGTCCTCTTTATCCGTTGATTTACATAATGTTGCCCACGGGCAACATGACATAGCACTAAGTTTGTCTGTTGGTCGTCTGCACTACGAAATTGCGTATTCACCTTGCAAGGATGCAGTTTTGGCCGTGCAATCGCCATGCGCATTGCATATTTGTTAACCTCGTCGGTGCCTTTCACTGTGCTGCGCAGTCTGTGAGTAACTAACAGTAGCGTTGATCCATCATTGGCTGTGCGCTGATGGCTTACCGTATTTACTCGCATAATTGGCGCACTTTTTTTCGCAATTTTGGGCGCAAATTACGCGGAGATTTTTTGAGTGCATACGAAATATCGTGTCACAGCCCTAACGCCTGCAGTATATACCTAGAAAAAATAAAATGAATTGAGAACAAACGAAGTATACTTGTTAATTGAAAATAACTGGCACATACTCTAACCAGTCAGATTTGGTCACGCACGGTTCAGTGGAAATCACTGATTGTGAGTACGATTGGGAATTATCGTTGTGGCCGCTGCCACCGCCCTCTTGAAGCGCACCGTCCACGGTTCTGTCAAGCGCACTCGAATGCCCCATTTTCTTGGAGCTGTTATCCACAATGCTGGGAGAAACTAGGTCCCACCACACGGTGATGCCGGGAGACCAAGCATCTGCACATAACTGAAAAAGCCTTCTTCAATGGCAGGAAACTTGCATTAGGAAGCGCATTCTCTTCTGCTTTTTCGTGAACCCATCGCGCCGATCGTCACACATTGAAGTATGTCACCGTGAAGTGCTTTGCGGTGTTATGGTTACGTTTTTCTTCGGCAAAATTTACAAAAGCGAGCTTGTATTTCGCTGTATATATAATTGCATAGCACATCACAAGGGAACTGTAAAAGTGCGTCGGCTAGATGATGAAACCTAAACTTCAGAATTGGACCAAGTGTGCGTTGCAGTGCAGTGTGGATGCAAAGAACGAGGAAAACAGTTTGCACGCAACAGGCCCTCCCACGCCTCCGATGCAGAAAGGTGTCCGTGCCGGGACGCGGGCGTGCATTCTGGCGGTGGTAGTAGAGGAGGAAAACGCTCGAGCAGTTCTGTTTTTGGGTACGGTATTTTAGTTTTTGGGTACGGTATTTTAGGGACCCTAGTTCGGGGGAAGCTTTCTCGGAAAAAGGGACTTACCCCATTTGACAGCTTGTCTGCTCGGCAAGGTGTGCTTCGTCCAAAGCATCGAAAGGTCCGAAGTCTCTTTGTGCGTCGGGTAGCGTGAAATATGCGAGTAAATACATTTTTTAACAAACCTGGTAAAATATTAGAGGTGGGTAAATTATGCGAAGGCACAAATTGTGCGAGTACGTACGGTGAATCGCTGATCTACTCTTATGTGCTGTAGTGGGCATACTCACAACTGGCTATCTTTACCATTCTTTGCAGCAGAAAAAAGAGGTAGGCCAAGCGGGCAATAAAAACCATCATAAGCAGGTTGTTCTTTGCCCTGTGACTTCCTTATTACAATACTTATTGGCAAAATTCTTGCAGTAGCATGTTCACATTATATAAATTCACAGTTACTCTTCACAACTTTTTCACCGGGAAGATGTTTACTGGCCCTTTAAGAAAGATAACTTATGAACTGTGTTGGGACCTGTTGATACCTCTGATTAGGACCATAAGACCTAAGGTAGGACCTATGCTGAAGCATTAATTAATGTTTCTAAGCACTGGAATAGTGCTAGGTGTTCTTTTTTCAGGACAAGATGTTTGTTTGAGTTCAGGTTATTTAGCCATGTTAAAGGGAACGACAACTGATTTATTTCGACCCAGTTATTTTCGATGCGACAGAAAGCTCACCGTTCGTAGAGTTCGTAGCTGTTGTAGTTAATCCGAAAAACATGTAGTCATTTTATAACCAGTATTTTTTGATCTGAAAGACTGAATAAGGATGAACCCTTTCATCCAGCTATGCTGAAAATTTATAGGGATGTCGGTAGCCTTTCTGACGAATTGTGCACGTTGTCGTTCTGCTTTCGGAGAAGTTACCAAAACAATGCCTAACCACCTTATTCAGAGCTTTACGACTATTTTTGAAAATAACAAGCCATTACAATGAGATGGTGTGGCTTAATACAGCTTCTCTGTATTTGTACTACTGAGTTGCGTGCACCTGTGCCGTAGATGGCTTGTCCCGTTGTCGTTTGACAAAAGAGCCAAGCCAAGTCAACGAAAACGTCACTGCGCATATGCGCAGCCATGCCGATGAGCAGTACATGTAATTTTGGAGACAAATTGTAAATAGTAAAACCGCGTCGCTCCAAAATCTTAGCAACCCAGATACTGCGTGCACGGTTTTATGAGCACGCAGAAAAGTTGCTCAAGATGCACTGATGAGCATAGGATGATTGTCATGTGAAAGCGTATTATTGCGTGCTACTACAAAGGCACTTTAATGCATACTACTAACGCAGGCCTATATGTACATTTTTATGGAGTGATATGTTTTACTATAAAGAAGCAAACAATGTTTAGGTACTGACAAGAAAATTGTTGACCACATCCAGTTGCATAACAGGGCACATTGGATAATTTAAGGTTCTGCCATCATTTGGCACCACAGGCTACTTTCACGATTTTCAATAAATAAAAATATAACTCGACATTTAATGAGAAAAACACGGTTGCTTTGAGTCGCTATGAATGGACAATCTTTCTATTCATACAGTCATCTCATTTCATGTTCTGGGCAGTTGTAGGACCCTTTAAAGTTAGTGTATTGATAATAATATATTATATGCTCCGAAGTTTGTGATGTACTTGGTGTAACTTGTTTCAAAGGTTTTTCAAAAAATTTTTTTTTCTGCATTGGGGAAATGACTTGGCATTCAAATATATTCCTTTGTTTTAAGGGTGCTCTGAATTTATCAAGGTAAAAATATAACAGCAGGTGTATTTATATTGGCAATAACTATGTTTAAACAGCTGCTTTTTGTAGTGGCATACTATTTTATAGATGTCATCTGTACTACATGTTGGTACAGCAGTGAAAATTGTTTAGACATTACTCACAGCGAAATTGACCCACTGAAGTGGTTGGACTGTAAGAAGACTACAAGACTAGGCAAAACCTCTCCTTATATACAATTAATTAAAAAAAAAAAGACTAGGCAAGTAAGTTGTGCTAGATTAGGGTTTGTTGTGCTAGTGTTGAAGGTGGCATTATATTCATAATAATTATATACATACTGCTTTTTGCTGTATGTTTTATAATCTTGTTTTCATACTGTTACACTTTGTTACAATAAAATATTTATAACACTGTAAGCTTTTATAAATGTTGCACAGATGTTTTTCAGTTCTATTGCCAAGTATTTTCTGCATGCTTTGATACTTAGTGTCTGCTATAGCATAAAGGAAGTCAGGTGTACCTATAAGTGGTTGTGTAATTTCATATTGGGACTAATTTATGTTGCAGATGTTCTGCACAGAGAGGAAAATTTTTTTTGTTCGCAGTGCACTTTTTGTGTGCTAAAATCGTGCAATAAGGAATACGCTTTATTTTCAATTTTAGACTACACTTTGTAAATCACAAACAAAATGAATTGGTGTGTGATTGCTACAGCTTAAAAAAGACACACACATACAAGCAGAAATGTAGTGTTGCTGTAGTCTTTGAAGGTGGCAAGGAGGGGAGAAAATAACATTGGAAGGAAGTCATGTTTGTTCACTTTGTTAGATACAAATGCTCAGATAGTACTGCAGCATTAAAATTGCCGTGGTTGGAAGGGCTGATAATTCAACAGAGCAGAATATGCCTCCTAATAATGGAGGCAACTGTAAAATAATGGAGGCAACGGCAGTTACACTTGCCTCCATTATTTATTTTTTTTAACCTGCTGAAAGCATTTCGCTTGCTTTTTTTACTTGCTCAAAGTAAGCGTCCCTGCTTTTTTTTCACTGCTATATATTGTTCCGTGATTTCAAAAGATTCACTATGTCAATTTGCAAAGTCATCGCAACAGAACATTCTTGGGCAGGTAATTCTATATATTGTGATTGTACTTTCAATTTAGAGAGCCCACACACTTGTACATACAACAAAATAAAGGTGAAAAACACGATAAATAAATAAATCAATAAATTAATCAATCAAATTAAGTTTCATTATTTCATAATAAGGTGTACAAAAAAAGAATATACCGAAGGAGGTCCCTAGCGTACACTAAAATGGGACCTCCTATGAAATGTAAACACAATATTTGTTTAGCAGCAACAGTGCGAAACTAAGAGAATACAAGGTAAGAGAATGCAAGCATTGTACTTAGAACAAAGTTTATCCTGAGTAAAAATTGCTTAATTTAATATAAGAAGCATATCCGCTCTGTAAAATTATCTAGTTGGGCATTTGAAAGTGGTCCTCACTTATCTAAAAAAAATTTCAGCAAGCATTTGTCTCTAGCTTCTATGTGCGTGCATGTATTTTGTATTATATACTTTATTTTTTGATGAACTTTATTATTTGTGCTTCCATGCCACTGTCATTTCACGTAGTAGTGGCACACAACCGCAGTTAGTGCAGTGATCTTTAATGTGCAAGGGGCTATAGCCATTAACCGGCCTTTTGTGCGAACAATATGTTTAACCTTTAAAATAGTTTGAATAAGCTGCATATAACAAATAAATTTGGACCACTAAAACATTTTATTTCTCTTGTTGCATGAATTCCAGTGGTACAAGAAACTGCAGTTGCATTGTATTTTTAAAATGACCTGGACACACTTACTGGTATTAGTCTATAGTACATACACACATAAATGTTAATTTTCCAATCAAGGCTTGTAGATATAGCTTCTTTTTTCCCCACATAATTGTAAATGTTGCACAATAATAGTTCACAAGGAGAAATTTTCAGCTTTTATAAAAAAACGTTTGGGTATAAAATTTCTTCAAAAACTAGTAATCTACCGTAAGTTTTCAGCCATATACATTACTTGTCTACAATGTGCACATTTTCAAATGATAAGCAACTGAGATATGCTTCTAACTTATTTCTGGTTAGCTTGGCATTGTTTTGATAATACACATTGATACCAATCTCGATAAATCAATGTAAACATTTTTACAGTAAGAAATGTTGGATTTTAGCCATATTGTTCATGAATTCAAATGTGCGAACGTCTTAGCAGTAACCTGTTTGGTCTGTTGTCTTTCAGAAATGTTTTAATTTTTATGAGTATATAGGAACGGAGTGGTACCAAGCTGAAAAGTTGCATGTACCTCGAATAGAAAGGAAACTTACCTTGAGCTAATTGTAGTATTGTGTCATTGCGGTGCTATGCCAAATCATCGAAATTGTTTGGAAGGGACCTTACTTCCTTTTTATTATCAAAGTGCATTAAAGTGGCAACTGCCTTTTTAAAAGTTTTTAATTATAGTATTAACATCAAATCGTTAATAGTACAGTGAAGGCCACCATAACATATTTCTCATGCTTTTGTTTATAAAATTCTTAAGAAATCTTGAAAGAGGAGTTGGTTTATGTTAAGGTGTATGTTTAGGGGCTATTTAGCTCAAAATCAGGGGTATTGTAACAGGTATGTTAGTTATCTAAAACTAGTCTACAAGGAAAAAGTGAGAGTGATACATGCTGTCCTGCAAAACTGGGACCACACGTTGCTGTATCTACAAGGGGATTGTAGTATGTGAAGGTATGCTGCATATATTTTAGTAAATTGTACAATTGGCAGAAAAAGCATTGTTTCTGTGCATGTATTATTTGTTTCTGGTGTTAAATTTATTGTGACAGATATATTGTGTCAAAAGCTGCACAACAGTTGTTTTGATTACTGAAACTTCACACTTCACTGAGAAAGATGTTTCAGTTTCAGCTGTGGTTGTAAAGAGTTCCTGGGCATTATGCTTTTATGTGGCAATATATCTGCTGAAGTAGATTGCCTATTCTTGTTTTGTATTTTAATAAAAATATTGTCATGAGTAAGCTTATTGTGTTATAGCTTACAAATAAAGTTTTGTGGGTTTCAGAAGCTCAACGTGCCTTCACATGACAGTGGACATTTTTACAAGTGATGTCAAATCGTATTCTTTGTATTTTTGCGACATTGGCTAGCCAAATGATATTTCCTTAAAAACCACTCATTTATTGGCCAATGCCCCATAGTGGGTATGTTCCAAGGACAATAAGTGAACAAAAACAACAACAAGAACTTACTTTGACTCCCGGCCATTGACAATAGACGCTTGTACCACGCCTCAATACTGCAATATTTCATGTGGCATTGTCAAGTATGTATACAGGACACGTGAGTTTGTGAAGCATGAACACTACTTTCACTGTGTTTCACACCAGAGGAAGTTCTTTTCACTGTTTTAACAAGCAGAGGCGCGGTCATCTGGTAGAACATGCACTTACTACACAAACGACCAGAATTCAATCCCCACTTGGCTCAAACAACCCTGGTTGAGTCTCTACTGAGATCAAGGATTTTATTTTATTTGCATAATTCTTGATTTTTCGGTCATGCGTTACATGACAATTTTTCGCTTACAACCAACGACGCCGACACCGACGCTGACGCCGTCATTTCTGCAGAACGAGCTGTTTCACTGTATCTCAATAATACATGCTGATTGCAGGAAAACATAGGCAGTGTTGTGTCGTTTTTTTTTTACGAAAAAGAAAGACGTTGCGGGATTTCGCGTGCACCTCTAGGACTTTGCGCACTGTTTTCTCGCGCCACTACGCGACAGCGGACGGCCCTAGGCTCGCTTCTTCTAAAGGGCGGGCCACAGAACGGTGCCGAGCCTCGGCTGCCTGCGGTGGGAAACCTCACCGCTCTGTACGCGTACTCGGCAGCTAAGGGTCGGTGTCATCACTTCTGGCTCCTCTTCCAGTTGATACTCAATGCGGCCGTTTCTCGTTCCAGATGACTGAACCGGACCCGATGCAACCAATCTTTATGTCCCCAGAAGATGCACATCAAGTCGGCCTGCAACATGGACGTCGGTCCATCGCCGAGCACCGACTTCGGTGGCCAGGCCTCAATGCAACTGGACCTCTTAGAAGACCGGGAACTTCTGCAAAAGTACTCGCACCCGGATTCTGCTAAAGAGGAGCCATTCAAGAGAAGCTTGTCGTTATCGGCGGAAGCAGCGACGACGACAAAAGCACTTACCAGCCCATGTTCTTTTCCGGCAAAGGCAAGGAGGGCACAAGCCAGGAACCAGGCAGAAGACGCATGCTGGACATCAATGATGACCGAAGCAGAGCGTGAGGAGGCAACTATCGGAGTGGTCTTTCGTGCTTCCAGATGTCAGTTTTTTCAGTTTTGTACCTGAAGCGAAACTTGGTCAAGAGGCCGCTCTCCTCGTACGGGCGCACGCGTTGCCGTGCCCTCCTGAGTCTGCTCCCAGCAGCAGCGTATGTCTCGATGACAGTGGAACCATCGCCGAGACACCCTGTCGGTGGCGATGATTTACCTCGGCAAGGTGCCTCTTCGATAAACTGGTACCACTGCGAAATCACTCAGCGAGAGATGCTACAAAAGAGGAGCCCTTAAAAAAAAGCTGGTTGTCCCGCATCGGTGGTACCGGTGGCGGACGCACAACCAAGGATGCGTCAGCTGGCAACAATGAAGAGAGCATTTTCTATCTCGTGTTATTTTTTAGCAAGCGCAAGGAGGGCACAAGCCAGGAACCAGACAGAAGACGCATGCTGAATGCCATGTTGACCAAGGCAGCGCGTGAGAAGGGAACCATCGCAGTGGTCTCGCGTGTCTCTGGACGTCAACTGATCACCTGAAGCGACTCGTCTGGATGTCGCTCTCGTCATGCGGGCGCACGCGTTGCCGCGCTCTCTGGAGGATGCTTCCAGCAGCAGCGTATGTCTTGACGATGGCGGCCAGTCGCCGAGCAACGCCGTTGCTGGCCAGGATCCACTGCAGCCGATGTTCTTCAAGCGGCTGGAACCTCTAAGCAAATATTCGTTTTACTACGCGGCTAAAGGGGAGTCCATTAATGGGTTCATGGTCGTGCCATATCTAAGGACGTGGTAGTGGCCTCAAGACCTAGGATGCTTCGCCAACCGGACACGACAAGAGCGCTTTCCTGTGTGGAGTTCCGCTTTAGAGGAAAAAGAAGTAGCTCAATGAATGGGGTATCAGTACTATTCCTATGCCGTGCCTTCCTATGCCGTGCTTCAAAGAGCAACAGTAACTGGTGACACGATCTACGAACACAACCTTCCATGGAGAAGCGCAAGAATCCAGCGCGGTGAGCGTAGTGCAAGTGCATCCCAGGGAAGCGTAAACTTCCTAAGCAATTTATTTAACTGCCGAATATCGGACTAAGTCCAACATGCTCCTCGTGAATAATGAAGCGCCTGGAACCAAGTGTCCGTGACAACGCGGGTAAAGGGGCAGCTGAGCTTGCCGAACCTTCAACGGCACCCAGATCTGCTAATGGTTACAACACCGAGCTGAAACCGTAGCAGGGGCGCTCCACGAGTAGCCCGGCAGCATCCAAGCCTGCATGCCAGCAGCAACTCACCTGGTCGGCCTCCTGCAGGGCCATTGCAGTTTTTTAAAAAGCGCACGCTATTCCAATAACATATTGTATGAGGTGCTAGAAGCGGCAGAAGCGGCAGAAGCAACTGCCGAAGACAGTGGATTCAAACACAAGGCTTCATTCCTACACCCTAAAAATTTAAGCGGAGTTCACTCACCCCCACTCCCCCAAGAATACGCAATCTTTCACGAACTACGCAAGTACTACTATAACAGCATCCGTCATACTTTCATCAGCACATCATCAGCAGCAGCCAGCTCCACTGAACGGCACACCGACTGATAGGCTTCACATGTGGCCTTGAAGCCCTCGAAGTCGCCTCCTTGGGATGATTCTACCAAGCTGTCATTTGAACCGGATAACTTCCAGTTCCTGCCTCCAATCAAGTGAGCCACCGCAACGGTAGCTGCCAAGTCAAAATAGGTGAGGATGCGAAGGACGAGGCTAACGTTCCCAGTGCATCAGTAGTTGAGACGAGAGCAAGTCGCTCGCTAGTTGGGAGGTGCTCTAGAGAGAGCTCAAATAGTACAGCTGTGTCCGCGAAGCTCAGCTTCTGCCAAACTAGGTGCTGCACGGGACGTTGAAATTGCGTGGCACGTCTGTCTTCAACCGCTTCGTTGTTTAGGAGTTGTTTAATCCGCCGATGTGCAGGCTGGACGAGGTGGTGAAGAATAGTCTGCTAAGTTGTCGTATATATATAGTTTCATCAAGTGGTTGCGCGAGGATTTCGCGTATCTCGGTCATTGTCTGTAGTGGCAACTCTCAAAGAGTAGTTCGTACTTGCGACCTTCTTACATGACGTCATGGATGCAGAACTGTTTGTCGTCTTGGAATCAAGCCGAGATCAGAGTCCGCAGTCATCGCGTCACATCAGAAGTTACCGATTATGAGCCACACATTGAAGCGTTGCCACTACAGACAGTTGCCGAAATACGCAAATTCCTCGCGCGATCGCTTCATTGAACTCTATATACGACAGTCACGTGGACTTTTCTTCGCTGCCTCATTAAGCCTGTACATTGGCGCATGCTAGAACTTCTAAACAAAGAAGTGCTTTTTGACAGTAGCTGACCCATTTACTACGTCACCTGCAACACCTAGTTGGGTACCAGGTGGGCTTCTTGGACAGAGCTGTACTGCGTGAGTTGTTTATGCAGCGTCTTCCAACTAACACGCGAAAGGGTATCCTTCCGACTAATGCACTGGACGTTGGTCTCCTCCTTAGTACTCTCACCTCTTTTTATCTAGGCAGCTCCCCTTGTCGTGGTTTGCTTCATTGGAGGCAGGAACTGTAAGTTCTCCGGCGCAAATAACAGCTTTGTGGAATCATCCCAGGGTGGCCGCTACAAGTGCTTGGAGGCCGCATGTCAAGCGTTGTGGTTAGTGTGCTGGTCAGTGTAGCTTCCTGCGCGCTGACGATGTTCTGCTGATTAAAGTGTGTCGGATGCTGTCATAGTAGCGTCTTGGTCGTTCGCAAAAAGATGTGTATACACGGAAGAGGGGGCTGGGAGGGGACTCGGGTCACGGCTTGAAGCTTGTAAGCGGGCCTTGTGTTTTGGATCCACAGACTTCAGCAAGTGCTTCTGCGTCTTCCGGGGCCTCAGACGACAAAGATGTTGTGGCGCCTTCTGTCGAAGCAGTCACGATGGCACTGGAGGTGGTCAGCGTTTCATCTCGGTGTGGTGACAATTAGTATGTAGGGGTACGACGACCTTAATTGCCACTTCGAAGAACACAACACCGTTGAAGGTTTGTTAAGCCCAGCTGCCATCTTAACAACGTAGTCGCAGTCGCTTGGCTCCACGAGCGGCAAGTCGTTCTTAGCATGAGCACCGCCGTCTAATCAATGCCACTGCGAACTCGCACTTCACTCTGACGCACTTCTGCTACGCTCACTGCGCTGTAATTTCGCGCTGTACCTTGGAAGGTCGTGTTCGTATAGTTCGGATCACCAGTAACTGTAGCACTCTAAACCATGGTTCAGGTATACGCGGAGTGGTTTAATCACACTTATATCTACTTTTGAGCTACCTATTTTGCCTCTTAAGCAGAAACCTACTACCAGCTCTCAAGGCTCCAGCACTTGTGCGCCACGAAGTCTACCCCGCTTATGCATTTCCGTTTCGACAAGGAAAAGAAGGGCGGCGACGACGGAACCGGCAGAAGGCCCACCTTTGACGCCATGATGAACGAAGAAAAATGCATGGAGGAACCATCGAAGTGGCCCTGCGCGCCCCAGGACGTCATCAAATTGCCTGAATCGAAACGACGCCAGGATGCCGCCCTTGTTGGTGGGCGCAAAAGCAGCACTCTATAGAGGCCGCCCCTAGGGAAAGCGAATGTCTTGAGGTCGCCAATCTGATGGACGTTTAGGAAATAAACTTTATCAACAGATATATTTACTCACAAATGGCCGAAGAAAATTAGTCTGAGTAAAATCGTATGATGCGTTTGTCTATTA